GATTATCTGAGTTAAGTTGATTCTATCGTCTTCAAATAATTCATTCGGGTATTTTGTCCATCTTTTTATTTTATTCTCTATATCTACTATAAGATTTCCATTTGTCAAGTTTACCTATTTGGCATTTCTTTATGCTTCTTGTTATCAATTTTACTTTTTTGTGTATATTGAACGCATCGTACTTTTTCTCATAGGTTTCCATTTTTTCACACTGTTCTTTAATCCATGCCTCTTTGGCTTCTTTTATTCTCTTTTTTATGTGTTTATTTATTTTTTTGTATTTATCTAGGTAATTCTTCATCTTTCTTCTTTGTTCCATCAAGTCTAGTATATCTTGTATCATCCACCCCTTATTGTTTGTTGTTGTTTTTGTAAGATTTTCTGCTGTTTGTATAGCTGTATTTATGAACTTTAGTTTTTGGTTAACGTTATTTGTATCGTTAATTTGTTGCTGCACTGAACGGAGGTTTTTGAATAGCTCATTAAACAAATAAAAATTTTTATTTAAAATCCTTTATAAAAGATATATAATAAAATGCCCAAACGGGCTATCACAAAGATATTGCAAAACGTTTTCGGATTATTAAATCCATCAGCAGTGCAAACGAGGTATACATGCTATGAGCCACCAAAATATATGAGTCCAAACCCTTTAAATGATATAAATTTACATTTATATCATTTAAAGGGTTTGGACTCGTTTGCACTGATGATGGATTTAATAATCCAAAAACGTTTTGCAATATCTTTGTGATAGCCCGTTTGGGCATTTTAATATATACCTTTTATAAAGGATTTTAAATAAATTTTTTGTGATATATGGTATACAGCCAGCTACAGGAACTTAGTTTCCTAGTGGATTTTTCATTAAACAAATGTTTTCATTCGTAACCAAATTGACATTAAAAAAAGGGTGTTTACATATGTCTGAAGCGTATTCTACACTTCTTTTGTTACGTGGTTCGCAGATATGACGATAATTTAGAGATATTGATTTTTACTGAAAACGTTTTAGTAACGACCAAATTCAGACTTCAGCGGACCACTCATTCTTCAAAACCTTAGAGTAGTTGAATATACTATACTGAATATAATATAGTGTTAGAGGTATTGAAAGAAATTACGATTATTAGTAATGAGAAAATGGCAAGAGAGAGGAAGTGAGCGGTAGAGAGTAGTTTTCTTTCGTTTTCTAGTAACTTCTTGTGCACCGGGAGCATGAAGTAGGTAAATGTTTTTATTTGGAATTTGTAAATTTTACATATCAACAAATGTTAATGACAGTATCAAAACATTTAGAAAAGCTTAAACATCAAAGTAAAAACTTCTGTTAGTGTAAGTGGTATAATATTTAATTAAAAAATTAAATTAAAAATCTAAATGGATACAAATAAAGCTCAGAACGTTTTCGGATTTATCAGTTCTATCTTCAGTGAACTTTTGTAGTAATTGCGCTACTTACCGCAAAACCAAACATTGGTTAGGTTTAAATTGTAGATATCATACTTAAAATATTAAATTAAACGACGTAATACCAATGTAAATAGTTAATTAACAGGGAATAGTATTTCCGTACTAGTCCCTATTATGTTCCTACTAGTCCGAAATATGTCTCCACTAGTTTCTATTAAGTCCCTCCTATAAACAATATTAAATTCTACGTCATTTCGTAATCTACAATTTCAACCCAACCAATGTTTGGTTTTGTGGTTAGTAGCACTCCAAAATAGGGATGGGAAAAACCTACTGGTTTTAACCGAAAACCGGTTTTTTTACTTTGAAATAACCGGTTTTATTGTTTGTTTTTTTGTCCCGGTTATAACCGGTTTTTTATTTTTAAAGTAAAAGCCGGTTATTAGGTTTTTAGAGTGATTAGGATTAGGTTAGGTATTATTTTGGATCCCACCCAATCATAATTATTATTCTCAAGTAATTATTCCAAACAAAACTAAAATTCAATTTTTATTTTATTTTATAAATACAGAACCAAACTGAAAGTGCAAGCTCATATCTGCCAGAAACAATTAAATTTGATTATAGTATTTCGTTGAAAAAGTATTTGTAATCATAATATTTTTACATAAGAACTGATCTGGTATTTATACATCATCTATTTTTCACACTTGACTCTTGACATTGAAAGTGGGTAAATGGCTTTTTCTGATTACCAAAAATAATGACTATGAATATCGAGTTACCGATTACGAATACGAATCTCCAAGGATTTCCCTACGTTTTCAAAACGATTTATACCCATACCGGAAGTCGTAGATGAGTTAAAAGTAATACATGATAATTTTTTTTGATGGTAGTAAAAATAAAAGATGAATTGCATTATCCAATTTATTTTTAAGTAAAATATTTATGTTGATATTATTTTCTTTAAATCCCATTTGAAAGAGTCTGGGAAATTTTTGTTGGGGAATTTTTTTCTCAAAAAACACAAAAAAATTGTGTTGTATTTACATTGATATTGATGTTCTTTCGATAGTACTAATTTTGATCATATTGATATCGAGTCGAATGTAGTATCGCAATCTAAAGTGCATTGTAAATGTAACTTTCTAATCTATTGGAATAAAAAAACCGAAAACCGGTTTTTACAAAAACCGGTTTTTTTGGCCGGTTATAACTGCCAGGTTAAACCGTAAGCAAAAAAAAAACGGTAAAACCGAAAACCGGTGTTTTGTCAAAAACCGCCATCCCTACTCCAAAAGTTCATTGAAGATCGTTTTGAAGTTTTGAAAATTATTATAATCTGTTTGAATTTTTAATTTAATTGTTTAAATAAATATTATACCACTTACAACAAAAGTTTTTTCTCCGATGTTTGAGATTTTTAACTAATTTGGTATACAGCCAACTCCCGGAAACTATCCCATTTTAAGCATTTAGGAAAACTCTCCAGTCACAGTTTCCTTTTACTTGGGGTTAAATGTGGTGTTTACCTTTTTCTTCATGTGCCATCTCCTCTAAGAAGGTTGGCAACCATCATGACAATTCGCACTTTCGATACCGCTATTATAAAGAAGTCAGCAGAAGTGCAGTTTAACCAAAGCTCTCAAATTGTTTAACCAGGAGATGCGTCTTCTTCCTCGGTTTCTTTTACCCTGGTTTCTTCCTTTCATTATTAATTGCAATAAGTTATAACGCTCGCCCCTCCTGACATGTGCCAGATATTGCAGTTTTCTGACTTTAATTGTATTTAAAACCTCTTTACCTTTTCCCATTCTTCTCAATACCTCGACATTCGTGACTCTATTCACCCAACTTATTCTTAATATCCTTCTGTAGGCCCATAATTCTAAGGCTTCTAATCTGTCCGAAACATCTTCCTTTAATGTCCAAGGCTCCAACCCATAAAATAATACGGAGATCACAGCCTCTCAGAAGTCTTATCTTTAAAAAAATTGAAATGTCCCTGCTGCAGAGTACTTTTTTTTAGTTTGTTGAAAGAATTTCTTGCCTGTTCTATTCTTGCCTTAAACTCTTCAGTGTACTTATTATTTTCGTTAATTTTTGTACCCAGTAATTTATATTTTTAAAGTTTTTAAATTTATTCTCCATGTTTTCTTGGCGCTGTTGGGCTTTTGTAACTACCATAAATTTTATCTTTTTTGTGTTTAGGGACAGTCCGTTTACTTCATTGACTTCTACCACTCTGTCAACCATTTGTTGTAAATCCTCAAGACATTCCGCTAATAAAATAGTGTCGTCGGCAAATCGTATATTATTGATTGGTCGGCCATTTACTTTTATTTCCATAGTTAGTTTTTCTAGTGCTTCTTGGATTATTTCCTCTGAATACGAATTGAACAAAGTAGGAGCTGCCTAACGCCCCTCTCAATATGCATTTCATTTGAAACGACGTTTTTTACCACAGCGATCTGATTATAATAGATAGCGCTAATGATCCTGATGTGTCTCATATCTAAGTTTTTCTTTTCAAGTAATTCGATAAGACGGTTATGCCTGACCTTATCGAAGGCTTTGTTTTAATCCAAGAAACACATATATACTGGCTGATTAACATCCATGCACCTTTGCACAAATACATTCACAGCGAACAGGACTTAACGCGTTCCCAGTGCATTTCTAAATTCAAATTATGTGCCACTTATGTCCTGCTCAAGTTTGTTATGTTTGTTTGTTTGTTATTCTCTGGTGTATAATTTTTAAAAGTATTTTGAGCGTTTGAATCATTAAACTTATTATTTGGTGGTCTTGGCATTCTTTTGCATTTGGTTTTTTTGGTAGTGTTATGAATGTTGACATCACCCAATCTCTGGAAATGATTCCTGTACTGTATATTGTATTGAATAAGTCGACCAATATTCCAATTTGCTGTTCTTCTATTAACTGTAATATGTCTGCAGGTTTTTCTCAGGACCTGTTGCCTTGTTGTTCTTTGTTCGCTTTATCGCCTCTAATACCTCGTCTTCTGTTATGTCTGGGCCGTTGTCGTACTTTTCCTGCTCTAGTGCTATCTCAGTCCGTTCGTTTTTAAATAGCTCTTGAATATATTTCTGCCATCTTTTAAGCCTTTCACCGATGTCCATAATTATTTTGCCGTTTTTATCCAGCAGTATGTTTGATTTTTTATTGATATTAGTGCCTGTTATTTCCCTAATTTTTTTATGAAGGTTTAAGTTATCATCGGTTATCCATTTATTTTTGTTCTTGATCAGCTTAGGTGTTAGTATTGTCTCACATGTGCTCATAAGAGCATCCTTTAACAAATGCCATTTCCTGTTCGCATCTGCAGTAGGAATAATTTCTATTCTGGTGAGCTCTGCTTTAATTTTTAGTCTGACTTGCTCTTTTGTTGATGGCATTCTCAAACGGGATAATTGTATCCTCTCTACTTTAGTTTTAGCCACAAGGACAACAAGGTGTTTACCTTGTCCTTTAAATAGTGATTTAAATTATTGAAAAATCTTAAATTCGTAGGTATTTCACTGGAAGTAGTTTTTTTAAATTAAATTATATTTTGTTTTTAGATTTATTTTAAGAACGATGAAAATGCACCAGAATTGTTAACAGTACCAAATTGCACCAGCTTTTGTACCTTGGAAAAATTTAAAGATTTAGTACAAGAAAATATTCCAGAAGATATATCGATCTGCAGAGGAAATAAAAGTAAGTATTTGTTATTAATAACCTATTGCAATTAATATTTTTAAGTAGGCAATATAGTAGAATGTTTTGATTGAGTGCTTTTGCCACCTTGACCGAATAATATTTATTACATTATTATTATTAAAATTATATTTTAAACCTTAAAATTTAAGAAAAAATTTACAAATAATTTATACATTATGGAAATAATAACCGCAATTTAAGTAGTGATGACAAAATAAGTAGTTATTCATCAAATGAAGATGTTCCGGAAAGCAAATGACCAAAAATTCATCGACACTTACAAATTGTACCTTCATCAGTAAAAACTCAGAACAGTAGACACAGCAATGTTATTTCTCAATATCAACTGCCGGATGATGAAAGTTCTTAAGGTGAGGATGGCATTGTGATTGATCATAACGCACCCTTGATATGAAAGAATGTAGACAGTCAGAACTTAAAAAATATTACATTCAGTGTTCAAAACTCGTTATTTTTTGTTTTTTGAAATATATGATAAAAGACACCTCGAATATTTTTAACTATATGAATGGACGTTGCCAGAAACCAATCGATACGCACATGAGAAGTTGGATATAGGTATTCACGGTCTAAAATCTAGAGTTCGAAGTGTGTCGATACAATTGTCGAAGTTAAAGATATTTTTGTCCATTCTACTGTGAATGGAAATGCAAAGATTACAAAAACTCTGTTAGTATTGGTCAAAAAATACATTATATTAAAACGAAGTACAGTGCCTTATGTCACGTAATCGATTTAAATTATAACTTGTCAATTTACACTTCAGTAAAAAAGAAAAGCGTAATAGAGAACTTTAACTGTATAAACTAAAATCTCTTTTGGAGAAGCTGGTTTTAGAAAACTAAATTTTCAAAAAGAGATAGTGCCGAAGGCCAGAAGAAGACCACAAGAAAAGACATAAGTTTTAGGTGAAGGTATACACACTCTGTGTGGATTAAGGTTTATTATCTATAAATTTATTGTGGAACATGTCAGTTTCGGATAGTATTATGTTTCTTTTATTAGATGTTGATTATAGTAATTTATTAGATGTTGTTCCTACCATATCTTATATACAATTAATTTTTATACTAGCATGATATTAGCACATAGTTTACTAAGGAAAAATACAAATTTGATAGGAAGTTTGGAGCAAAACAAAAAGCTTACTTAAAAAGCAGTGACAGGTGTATAATTGAAGAAAGGAAAGATTATTCCGAGAAAAAGTAAAACAGGTAACTAAGTAAAAGCATAATCGCGAAGTGCTTACGCTAAATACAAAGCATACTGCTGAAATAGCAAACGTCTATCAAATAGGAGAAATAGTTCAAAAACCAGTTTCGTTTATCTACTACAACAAGAGTAAAGGATTTATAAATATATCCAAACAAAATACATTTGTACTCTACATCATTACGAAAATTAATCAAATAGTATCGTAAAATATCAGTTGAGCTCCTTTTATGGTTAGCTATTGTCATCGCCTATGTAATTTACCATAAAGCAACCAAGAGTCAATTGTCCAACACATTTTATTAGTATATTCTCGGTTTCATTTTTATATAAGTTGCTATACAACTGTATGGACTGCAGTGATATATTAGGTCAAATTAGATTTAATGTGCCAAGAATGACTTCCAGGTCGACTATCGTGTTTACTTGTCCACGTGCGAGAACAAATATGTTACTGAAGTCAGCCATTTATATTATGTGCGATAATTATACAGTGCTAGTCAAAAGTCCGTTCCCCCCCTCGTATCTTTTGAACGATTATTGTTATAATAGTGAAATTTGGAGGGAGGTAATAAACAGACGTAGGCTTCTCGACTAGTCATCACAAGTGACGTAATAGTGACAGATGACGTAACAGCGCCACTGTGACAGATAATTTTAAATGGGACCTTATGGCAAGTGATACATCCTTTGAAAGGTATTGAAAATACCTATTCAGTTATAATAATTTTGTTTGAGTTTAAGTTAATTTAGATGAATAAATTAAATAAATACTAAAATTGTAGCTTCTCATTTAATTAATAAATATTTAATAAGCAGTTCTTCTAGTAAGTGTTCAAAATATGCTCCATCTACTTCCTGACAGTAATGCATCTAAACTCTTGCCGTACTCGTTCAAATGTGTCGGGGAAAATTGCCCTACATTCTTCAACAATTCGTTCTTTGAAAATGTCAATATTGTCGGTTGCTGTAGCGTAAACTTTAGATTTTAAGTATCCCCACAGAAAAAAAATCTAATGGTGTGAGGTTCGGTGACCGAGCTGACCATTCTTTCGTACTTCGTCGTCTAATCCATCTACCACGATATTCCTCATCTAGGTAACGTCTTACTGCACCATAATGGTGTGCAGGGGCACCATCTTGTTGAAACATTATTTCCAAGTTACCGAATTCATGTGGATTATCCTCCAGAATTTTAAGTATTAATGGTTCAATTGCATTTTGTAACATCTCTAGATACACTTCACCGGTTAAATTAGTATTGCTAAAAACAAGCCCAACTATGTGGTTTCCCAAAATACCTGCCCAAACATTTATTATTTTTTTTAAATTCAGTATGTGTTTCACGAAAGACGTGAGGATATGTGTCACTCCCAATACCTCACATTGTGTGTGTGTTAACATTTCCATTGAGAGAAAAAGTACTTTTGTCACTAAAAGAAATTGTTTTTATGTAATTGGGCTGTTGGTTAATTTTATTGAACATATTTTCACAGAATTCTAGTCTTCGGTTGGGGTCATCATCTGAAAGTTGGTGCACAATGTTTAATTTGTATGGATGAAATTTGTTTTGAGCCAACACTCAGTGTACTTTGTCTTTTGACTAATTTAATTTTTTTGTCATCACTAATTGTTGGTCGACCAGATCGTTTAACATCTTGAACACTACCTGTTTGTTTAAACTTCCGAAGAAGCTTTCTCAAATAAGATATCGATATAGGGCGTTCGGGGTACCTCTCATTAAAAAGACGTTCCGCTGCATGAAAATTATTTTCACATTCACCAATTATCACAGCTGCTATTTTGTCGGCTGCAGTACGTACCATTTTGCCTTTGTAAAAATTTAAACGTCTCGTTAAACAATAATTAAACTAAATATTAACTAAGAACAACTAACTAAAAACAGCTTGACTAAACTTAGATTGACCAAACTAAGTAGAAACAGAAACTAAGTATTGGGCTATAAACGCTTTTGCAAACTAAAATCAACTAGAGAATTGACAAACGTCAACTTTTGTTGCCAAATAACTAAAGGCTTACGTTAGAATTAAATGCCAAATTAGAATTTTAGTATTTATTTAATTTATTCGTCAAATGCATCTTAAATCCAAACAAAATTAGGATGATTGAATAGGTATATTAAAATAATTGTAGTTTTGCATTTAATCAATAAATATTCTAACGTTCGCCTTTTGCTAATTGCCAAAAAAGTTGACGTTGACGTAAAAACAATTAGATAATTGAAAAAGTCAACTTTTTGACAAGTAACCAGAGGCGGAGGTTTTAATATTTAAAAAAAAAAAAAAAAAAAAGAGGTTAATCTTTGTAAATGGGTATATTTATTTAAAAAACCCTTAAAAGGGCCACATCAATAGAACAAACGTTTTCGGACTAAACAGTCCATCATCAGGTTATTAAAATCGAAAATGCCTAAAAATAAGTATTAACTATTTAGTTAAAACAAACGAGATTTTGAAATTTTGACTAAGGTTGAAAAGCAAAAGATGGTTATACTTACTAGGTCATAATGCCTGAGCCACCAAAATATTAGGGTAAAAACCCTTTAAATTACATTTAGTTATGAAATGTTGTACATTGTGTTATAAAATAACTGTGATGTTCTATATTAAATTAAATTTGACCAAAGGTAACACATGGCTCAAATGGGTTCCAGAGCCGGGCGAGAGACAACCTCTGCACTCGGAGAACAACGTGGAACTGATTGACAAGATACTTTTGAAGGATGAAGATAACAGAATGTCAATGCAACAAAAACTATAAAAGTTGTACATAGTATTACTACAACCAAAAGATTCAACAAGTTATGATGATTTTAAAAATAACAACAATATAGGTGTTGGGATTTAAAAACTTTTTATTTATTAATTTAGGGTATAAAAGATGTCAAATCAATGATGGTTTTATAGTCATGATTAATATAATGACCTGTGCCTTAGGCAACTTATGTTGCTTTTCGTCGTATGGAATGTGGTCTAAAGTGTATTTAATTTTTGGGTTAGCTTGTATTTGTGAAATTTATCCTTTTATGTTTAACACATCTAGGACAAGGTAAAAATTAAATAACAAATATTTGAAGCTAATATAAGACCTCATGTTTAAATGACTTTATTTAGGAATGCTCCTATGGTGAAGAATTAATAAAATTAAGTTTAGTAAGATGGAAATCTACAGGCTGAAGAAATTGAAGTAGTAACATATGTGATTGAATTTAAAATCAAAGAGACTGGGTTCCTCAGAGACTGATGAGAATGAAAGTAAAAGAAATGAAAGGAGGGGGGGGTTGAAGGAGAAAAGGAGTTGATCAACAATTAGAGATAATAGGGGTCCTTTATACTTAAAGTATCTAGCACCCTGAACAAAATCTATTTAGGTGGTATTAAATTCAGTTTGTAGAAACCTGAAATTTGTTGTATAAGTGTGCTACTAAGTTGTTGACCGAAAGAAGGTGGACAAAGGTAGATTAGGATTCTATGTAATATGGTAGATTATGAATTTTAATAAATTGTTAGATAATGTTTAAGTGATTACTAAATTAAAACTATTGGATACATGTTTAATATATGAATTGACCAAGAAATAATGAAAAAGAACAAAATTAACAGGAAAACGATGTAGAAGTGAAGAGTGAAGTGAGTGAAGAGATAAGATAGTGAAATGTTGGTATGGTGGATGTGGATGGTTCTGAAGTTAAAATTGGGGTCAGAAATTTGTGAGAGGAAGGTGTGACGATATTGTATAAAAAG